CTCTCTCTCTGTAATCACAGACAGCTATGTGCATTGCTTTTTTATTGATCATCATTAGTATCCTATAATTTTTTTAAAACTTCCTGGTATACCAGATATATTTAGAACGGCAACCGGAGCAACATGAACGTAGCTGATATAAGTAGCACCGTAATATTTATCATAGCAATAATTATTCTCAATGGTAAAGCCCGTAAAGCCCGTTCACCTTATTACGTAACACCCGTGCACTATCATATAGAGATACTTGACTACTCAGTCTTAACTTATCAATATACTGATAACAAGGCTTTATTTTGGGACAAGATACTCAATTTAGGTCATCATAATGGATCATTTTTTTTTCATGGAAAAACCAGTATAACCATCAATGTCCTTGAATCGACTCAATATATAAGATTGCATCAATTAAATCTGACAATAAGTCGTCTAAATATAACTTTAACTACAGATAGTGGTATAATATATATATTGAATAAATACAGTTATTACCATGACACGAATATTTTAGAAATTGTTTCATCTTATATATTATTTCCCGGGCTCTACACATTCAAAATAGAATTCTTCGGTCAACTTATAGAAAACCATAAAGGTATCTACAAAAATTTCTACACGGGAAATCGCACGGCGTGAGTAAATATTAAATAGTTGAAATTATATATATATGCATTATATATGCACTATAATATAATTATTTCTCATATTTTCTTAAAATTCATTCTCTTATAGCAATTTTTGATGTTGTTATATAAATTAAATCAAATGGTAAAAAGTATATTATTATTTAATGTTATTTAAAGTAAATATAACTATTATTAAATTGTTGTAGATTATTGCTCGCTCCACACATCCAAGCGACTGGAATGAGACAGTTATTTCCTTGTTGGGACATACCACACTTAAAGGCCACATTTGCAATTTCTATAAAGCATCATCGTAATCTTACAGCATTATCTAATATGCCGATAAAATATCATTCTACCAATCATACAATGACTTTGGAAGCTGAAGTGCTGACACATTTCTGTACTACTCCTCCAATGTCTACTTTGCAAGTTGCGATAGTTGTGACTGACTATTATAACCTTAAAGTTAACGATAACATTACTTTGTGGTGCGATTGTTATTCAGAAGAGAAGTCTCCGAAATTTGAGTTTGCACGAAGAATCATAAACGATATTACGTCGCATTTAAAATCTGAATTCGGTGGGATAAATATTCCAAAAATGGATCATGTTGCAATTCCAAATTTTCCACAAGATGGCACATCGAAATGGGGGCTCATCTTTCATACGTAATACATACTTCTAAATATATAACAATTTGTTAATTGAGAAAATTATTTATATCAATTGAATATCTAAAACTTTTGAATTTTTACGTATATATATTTTTATAAGAAATCTTCAGTTAATTATAAAAAAATCAATTATTGAAACAATTATTAATCCGTGAATCAGGTGTGGTGTGACTTACCCCAGCAAGATGAATTTTTAAGGTAAACTAAGGTATATTATGGCCATACGGAAAAGATGGCCATAGACCATAATTTCTCCAATAATTGATAAATAGTGCATTTTTATAGTCATTCTTAAAGATAATCAACATTTACAGTAGTTCATATACACTGTTCAAAATAACAATATTATAAATATTATTTAATATTTTTTCTTTCACGCGCGCGCGACTATCTCCAAAGTTTTACACGTGTCTGTTAAAAACTGTTATAATGTCTAATAAATTACAGTTAAACTGCTATAATCAACATTACATACAGAATAAAGGTACGTAAATTGCAATGTGATCTATAATTAATACTTTTATTTTCACTATTTGTTTATACTTATTATTGCTATCTTTCTTAATATCATGGCCATCTTTTCCCTAAAAATCAGATAAGATGGCCAATGCATATTTTGTAATATTTTGATAAAATTAAAGTTGTGTTAAGTATTTTCTCTTTAATTTCGATAGTATTTGTTACTTTAAGCTTCAGTGAAAGTAATATCCCAAATGTTGTTAAAAAGTAACAAGAATAAATGTACGTTTTTTGCATTTTAAAAAACTATGGCCATCATATCCGAGTTTACCCTATAACTTCATGAAAAGTACCGCGCGCCTGTTGCCGGTTTCGTGCAAATGGAGAGTGCGTCGTTGCCAATTATACTAAATTATAGCATATTTATGATGAAAAGTAGCATATATGTTAAATATACTCATACATGAACGATGTTGATTTTCCACCTGGTTCGGGGAGGGTTAATAACTATTATTACACTAGATATTATTAATTTTATACAATCTGTACTTTAAAGTAGATATAAAATTTGTTATTGCATTTATTTTTAAAAACAATTCAATTTTTTTTCATCAGCAGTGCATAAAAATATTAAAATATAAGTATCATATATTATTAAGTATTAAAAAATCATATAATTAAAAAAAACATATTTTTATTGAAAAAGTAGAGATAATCATGAAACGACTTCAATACTTGCACAAAGTAATGGTTTTATCTATATGATCTCTTTCTCCGTACTAAAAATCTACTTATATAATATTTTTTCATATGTCTTTATAAATTTTATTAACAATTGTGTCTGCCACTTTGTACACTTTATACAAGGAATCACCTTGTATATCAAATGTGACCTATTTTGTTTTATATTAGAAGTCACCAAAATCATAATCCAATATTCTATATATATGTATAAATTAATTAGAAAGGTAATATTTTACAAAATATTACATGTATCAAATTAAGATAAATTTAAAAAATAAACCTACATGTATAGTCATTTTTTAATGTCCTAATTTACCATTACAAATTATATAAATATTAGAAATTTAAAATGCCTATTACGATTGAAGCTGGATCTTCGTTGCTTAAATAATTCAATCTTGAATTACTGTTAATAAATTTATTGCGAAAAATATTACCTCGGCCGGGACTTGAACCAGGATCTCTTGTATTTCGTACGAGCGTCCTAAGCCATTAAACCACCGAAGCTTAGGACGCTCGTACGGAATACAAGAGATCCGGGTTCAAGTTCCGGCCGAGGTAATATTTTTCGCAATAAATTTATTAACAGTTTTAACATATTAACATCTTTATAATATACGATGCTTGATGGTAGCATCAAATTATTAAATTGTTTGTCGATTTAATTCCCGATTACCGAGTAGTTTCAATTTTATTTAGTCCGGAAAAATAATTCGGCGCGCCGTTTGAAAAAGACTACAATATGGTATATATGCAAGTACATATATAGTATATATTAGTAATTCAAGATTGAATTATTTAAGCAACGAAGCCATCCAGCTTCGACCGTAATAGGTATTTTATATTTCTAGTATTGATTGTGTTTCTCATATATACGGTCTAAAATAAAGATATTGTTTAAATTATATAAAATTATATAAAAACACATTAAACGTTTTATATCATTATAAACAAATTAAATTGAAATCTGTAAAGAAATTAATGTTTCATCAACCAAAAAATAAGCAATAATTTTTACACGTGAAAACAATTGTAATAATTTTTAGAGAAGCCAATCTTATATGTAATGAACAATCAGATTCAATTATGCACAAGATAGAAGTCGCACGTTTAATAGCACCCAAAATAGCATATCAATGGTTTAGTAACGTATTCAGTTATAATTGGTGGACTCAATTCTGGTTACACGACGGTCTTGCTACTTTGTTTGGAGAAGAAACCATCGTTAAGGTTCTTATATTTATTAACATTGTAATATAATAAATTTAATTTAATTTGATATATCTATTATTTTTATTCTTTAACACTTAAATCTGACAAACTTACAATCTTTTTTTACAGTACATACGAAAAATTTCTTAAAAGAAGAAGAACTTTACGCCAAGTGCATTAAAAAGGTATCAAATATTACATTCCTTTTATTAAAAAATACGGATACGAAATAAATGCAATTAGCTAAGTATTTCATAACGCAAGTCACATAGATAGTAAGTGACTAAAATGTTGACTGAATTGTAGTGAAGAAAACTTACCGTGCTCGGATTGGATAAAAATATTCTATGACCAATGTGTCTTCATAGTACAGAAATTATTTACAATACGAATTAATAAAAAAGTTATTACATACAATATTCTACAGACATATACAATACATGAAAACAATAATTCAACAAACAAGAGATATTAAAATTACTTACTAATTTTGTAAATTCGTTATCTATAATGTTTCTACATCCAAATATTATCAATGTTATTTATACATATTATTTCTCCATAGTTTATATCACGTCTGTTATTTGTGTTGTGAGTATATTTTCATGTCCCACAAACTAGTCACTATATATATATATATATACAAACATATAAATTACATTTATATACAAATGTAAATTATTTTTATATTTTAATTTATAATAAGAATATTGTGATGAGATAATACATTTATACAAATGTAATTAATGTGACCCGGGCACGCCAAATTTTTTCTTCACTATAATCCATTTGTCCAGTTTAGTCACTTTCAATATATTTTATGGGTCTTGCATTATGAAATACTTGGCTAATTGTATTTATATTTCGTATCCGTTTTCTATTAAAAGGAATGTAACATATATTCGGTATCTTTCTTATGCACTAAGCGTATATTTTTTTCTTTTTTAAGGGAATGCTTATACCAATAAAATATTTAGATAAAATATTTAAATTGGAATGATAATAACAATGTAAAATGACTCGTAAAAGCCTTTTCAATTAAATGTTAAAAATTTTTCAATTTAAATCGTTTAAACTTTTAAAATTGTATGGAGTTTTATTTTAAGAATTACATTCATTTTTTATTTCTAAACTGAATTATGAACTTCGTAAAATAATTTTTACAAGAATGCGCATATATGTGCACACAACATTAAGCAGCAGCACATGCTACACCATCCCAATGAGGATAGTCTTTCACCTTTACATTTTGTGTAATTAAGAAACATTGCTTTTAGATCTTCAATGATTCTAAAATCATGGATTTCCTCATGGTGCAGAATCAATACGAATCTCTTCATTTGGATTCTCACTTTGACATGAATCCTCAAATCATCAACCTGTTGAAAATTGATTCACTTTTCAGTTTTCCTCGTTATTTAAAAGGTAAGAATAGTTAAAGGATATTTTATTAAATATTTGTACATATGAATATTATTAAAAAAATTAATGAAAAAAACTTAGATAAACAAATTTTGTTCAAAAGGTTCAATTTGTAATTGATTAATATATATGTACCATTACAGCACTAATTGCTTTACGCATGCTCCAAAGTGCAATTACCGATAAAGTGTTTCGAAAGAATGTTCGTACATATGTAAACAGATAGTGAGTAAATATGTCAACTATAATTTCGTCGTATATTGTACTTATATAATAAATTTAACAGTTATTATAATTTTATGAAGTTGTTCGTAACTTTTCGTAATGGTTGCAATTTTTCTGAATATCTCTTGATTTCACATTTATAGGTACACATCTTTCTTTTCAATCAGTAATCACATAATGTTCGTAACTTTTTCGTTTTTCAACTATCCTTCATTTTCCTTCATCTGTTTAATTCATTAAATTCGTTATAACTTTATACAATTTTTTGTGTCATTCCTTAATAAACTATTGTATAAAATTACCTACTTAAAGTGTTGAAATTAAACTGAATTTTTACAAATTGTATTACCAATAGTAATATATAATAGGACTTGTAATGTACCTGAAATAGAAAATTGAAATATAATATATTACAGAATTCCATCTATATGTACAAGTTAATATGTAATCTTAAGTAATGAATACATATTTACGTTGTACACAACACATTATTTTGATCACTGACAAAAAATTTTTTAATTTAGCACTTTTAGCTCAATGGTTTCTTTTGATTTCTGGTCCATGCAAGAACCTATAGAAGCATTTAAATGTTATATACCATCAAATGAGTTCTTAACTTGGATAACGTACAGTCATTATCAAATTGTAACCTTCGAGCAAGCAGAAGCTGATTCTTACACGGGAAGATTGTCGCAGAAGTATAATCCAATCGGTCAGGGAAGATGGTGGATACTTATAAATTTAAAAAATTATAAATTACGGATCACAGAAACATTGCTCACGAAAAATTTCACAACATGTTTAACACCAGATTCACCATCTGTTACTTTATATGTGCAACAAATTGATTGGGCATATGATTGGGTAGTCAATATACAGCGAGTAGGTAAATATGTCTTAAAGGCTTAGAATTTATGGTATATAATTATTTGCAAGAGAATCTACCTTTCTACTTTCCTGTACATACATATACACACATATATACAGGATATTTGAAAAATAACGGTAACTCTTTCGCCTAGGGGCAAAACAAACTAAACTGAGAAGAAAAGTCCTCTACCATTTTACAATTTCCGCGATGGTTAACAATTGATTTCCGCGATGATTATTAACTTACGAAAATAGATAAATTCGTCGAGTCTATACCGCCAAATGCAAGCGCGCGACAGGATAAGAATAAAAGTATGAGAAATCTGTAGCATAGTGTAATAATACGCGTGAAGGCGTGCCTCATCTAGCGCGGTGAGGCCGGCAGCGGCGTTCGCGCCTATTATAGTGATGAAAGGTCGTTCTTTAGCGAATAGGTTGTGCTGAATACGTATGACCTTAAACTTTGTCTGTTGCTTAAAATTTTCAAGAAAGAAGAGGTTGAAACACCCCAATTCCTCCTAAAATGTGTTTTCGGCAGTATATATATATATATATATTCATAAAGTTATATATAGGTAATGCATAAACCAATTATTAGTGTATTATTACATCAGCTTTAGGAAGTTCTGATGTTAAAGTTTAGGCCTTTACCCGAGCTTTACCTTTCTGTTTACAGTTTAAAATCCTTCTATATCGTGAATTTGATTTACATTTATTCAGATAAATTGATGCATGTGGAGGACATGTTGGATCTATTATTTGAAATTTTTTAAATCCAACATCAGCTTTATAATTAGCAACCTAAAAAAAAAAACATAGAATTGCAATAATTCGCAAAAATTTATTTCCATAGAAAAATGTCGAATTTTTTTTAACAAATCTTCGAATTTTTGTTAACAAAGGATTAAAGGGATCCTAAAATAAAGCCTGAACTCCGATGTGATCGCTCTTGTATCGATAAAATACGACACGTCAATAAATCTTTATATATTACTACATGAATGTCATACTCACTCATACGTAAAAACCCAGATAGCAAAATGTCTGCAGTCTTCTAGCAGACAGCAGGTTCGAGCAGAAAATGATGGCAGTCTACCACCAACTGCGTCCACATAAAGCTTGTGTTTTGTTAACATCGCCTGTCGACATAAAGTGAAACCCAATTGTTCGCAGAAACTGAGCAGATCCTGTCGACAGTATCTGACCGTAGACTGTCACCAAAACCACGCAGATCCTGCTCTGACACGTCAGGTATCAGCAGAATCTGCTACGTTTCTGTCAACAATCTGCTGTCAAATTGTGTCAGAGTAGGATCTTCTGACAGTCTAATTCTAGGTGACGTCGAAAGGATCTGCTTGGTTTCTATAGACAATACACTGTCAGATTAAACCGTAAATCTGCTCTGTTTCTTTCTCCAGTCTCTGCCATTTACTCCTGCTTGCAGATTTTGTTACATTTCTTCCAGCAGTCGTCAACAGTATTATATACATCTAATTTTATAACAATTCCGTTGATATTTTGTTGGCATAGTATGTAGGAGACATTAAAAAAATCTGTTTTCTACAGACTTAGCTATCTGGGAATTTTCTAACTAACTAATCTTTCGTATTATGTACCTAAACCTAATACTAAGTACTCAACTTTGAGTGTTCATGTAATCTCTAGTCCGAATCAAAATTGTTTTATAGATACGAAGTATAAAACACGTATATAAACCGAATATTATTTCGAGTCGATGTTAAAAGTCGCTAACAAAACTGTAATTTCCTAACATTTTTTCGTTTATGGCGTATGATCGACCGATTTGGGCTACATTATCGTTTATACTTTAATTATGGAGACGTATTTTCTAATCTGTAACGGCAGTTAGAAAAGTACTTATTTAAAGAAATTGATAGAACAGATTCACACTTCAGGATCCCCTTAACATAAGAAAGAAGAAAAAAAATGAAAATAGTATTTCTCTTATTATCGAACCCATAAAATCCACATAATACAGTACGATAAAACTTTATAATACATACGATAACATTTTTTTCCATGAATAGGATATTATCGTGTCAAATATAATTTAAAAGGCTGGAACGCAATCGCAAATTATTTAAATTCAACAGCTGGAGAATATGAAGGAATTAGTGTCATCAATCGTGCTAAAATCATTGATGACGCATTTCATTTGATGATGGAAAATCAGCTCGACGTATCTATATTTTGGAACCTCACGCAATTCTTATCACAAGAGACAAATTATGTAGTATGGTATCCAATGATTAAAGTGTTCGAATATATGTCCACTATATTTCCATTTTCAAAAGACGAAATTAAGTTCATCGACGATATTAAGGTATAACGATCAGTACGTATTTAGTGATAAGTAGTGTCTCGCGATAAGAGCACGCGCAGCGTGTTGTTAGCGCGAGACCGGCCATGTATCTTTACGCGATCTGCCTAGTTTTTTCAGATTATATTTAACGAAAACTATCAGTTACTAGCAAAAGTGCGAAAACATATTGTTTTTACTTTTTATATCAATAACTGTTGAGCAATTTTGGATTGTAGCATGATTTATGTTAATAAAATGATTCAATTACGTTTATTTATTACCTCAATTTGAAATGAAACGAGGCAAAAAGAAATAAGTAATGGAAGAACAAAGTATTGTCACGCTTTTATGTTCTAAATATTGCATTTTTTGGATATCAAATGTTTTCGATTAATATTAGGATGATGAATAGTAGATTATCTTTAATAAATATTAAACATAAATTATGCTTTTATATCGATAACTGGTAAATAATTTTGTAAAAATAAACTGCTTACTTAAGGGATCAGACGGCAATTTATCAGTTTTATTTTGAAATTAAATATGAGAAATTAAAAAAAAATAATTCTGTTTTTGTTAGTATTATGCACGTTAAACAATTTGTTATATACGTATCTATTTACTTTAAGATACTAATTGTCTAAAAAATATTAAGGCGTGTACACATATCATGCAGAGAGAGCACAGAAAATTGAAAAAAATAATTTTTCTAAAATGCCTCATTATGAAAAGCGTTCATGCGTTCCATTTTTTATTTAGAAACGCTAATTCTGTGATTCTTTTCAGGTATATAAAATCTATTGACAAAATATATCTCATTTACGTCGAGTTCAGATATGAACTCCCAGTAAACAAGAAAGGATTAAAATGGATTGAAATTTTTTGTATTCTAATGCGTGTTTTAAATACAGAAAATCTCTTTTTGGATTAAATTGGATTCAATACAAATTCAGTTGGATTCAATTAAATTCAATTGAATACATTTGGATTAAAGGATTGAATTTTCAATTCAGAATTTTGAATTAAACATTGTTCACAGATGCACAGAAAAAGCTGATATTATTTTTAGATTGGAAGGCACAAAAATGTGCTTTTTTCATGCAATTCTTATAAACAAATAAAAATGCATTCCTGATTGAAAAGGATTTGTTTTAACGTTCGCGAATGCATATTTCTAAAAATCTGAATCCATTTCAATCCTTTATCGATTACAGGTCTACCAATCCTGAAAATATGAATTATGCTACGAAGTACGCTACAGATTTTTAGGACAGGATACCGATTATCTAACTTTCTCACTAGAGCGGAAACGTGAAAACATTTTCCTAGGGTGGAAACTTTAAAAGTGAAAATTTATATATGTACATATATATGTATACATATGGACACAACATACAAAAAATGTTCACTTTTCACGTTTCCGCCAGAGGAATAAGTTATATGATCGATATACTTCTTGATGTATAATATATCGAAACCCTTACTTTCATCATAGAAACTTTGTTTTGGGCACTCGCATTCAAAAATTCATTTCACTCGAATATATTGGGTAAAAAGTTTCATAATTTTGCTTCTTTTCTGCTCTGTATGATTTTTATCTATAAGAATTGTATTTCGCTACTTAATTCTATTTATCGGCCGTACTGCTTGCGGATAATCGATTTTTTTCGAATTTATTTCGAATAGATTATTATAGAAAAAATGTAGAAAGGTGAATCCTTTTTGAATTCGTAACGATCATCTGCGCTATCTAGGATAACGTACCTTATTATAATGGATGAACATAAAGTTTATGTCATTTAGGCAAAATTGAGAGAATTATTGGATAATCCATTAAGGGTGATACTAATTAAAAAACACCTAAAGGAAAATGACCTTACTGAATCTTTCAAACAAGAAATATTAAAATGGTCTTGTACGCTCAAACATTATCAGTGCGCAATGTTGGCCGAAGATACGTTAGGAGACCATCTTCAGAATCCAGAAATAGAACCGTAATACTATTTTATAAATATAAAAGACCTTTACCCACACGAGCACAAAGTAAGCCAGCAATATTGCATTAACATTGTATAAACGTACTAGTAATATTGCAGTAATTTTGAACGTGTTACATCAATGTTGCTGCAAGGTTCTGTGGGTAATCGAAACTTTTTGTGATTCACGCCTTAACAAACTGTCTGTTAAGATAAATAAACAACATTTTTTAATGTATATACTATGTATATTTATTCTTTTTTAAAAATCGTAGAGTTTCTGCAGAGTGGAAGCACTGGACATATTGCAGAGGTTTCATATTATGCTTTCTTAATAAACATTCCTTGTGGTTCAAGGCAAGCTATATATGGTTGAGAAAACCTGACCACGATCTGTTACCATTCTTAGCTTGTTGTGAAACTGATTCGATCATTACAGTACATCTGCAAAATTTATTTTTAAATCGATTTACACAAAATGAAAGGGAAGATGTTGTGGTTATTCGTTCTTCTATAAACATTTTTCATTCAGTTGTCAGTAAGCATGCTAATAACTACAACATACTTCGGAAGATATTAGGGAACTTGGGGAAAATAAAACCAAAGTGAGAGCTGTTTTTTATAAATATAGATATACTTCATTTAATAATAATAAGTTATTATATAAATTTATAATTGTCTGAATTGATTTTATAGAGAAATCAACACGTTAACAGCACTAACAGATATTATTAATTATGTGTATTCCATAGCAATTCTGAAACAGGCAAGTAAATTTAATTCAAATTTCATATTCGTTTTATTTATTAGCTTTCTTTAAAAATTCTTATTAATAACTAATGTCCGTAATATAATGTATATGTTCCTACAAGACACTGCTCTCTTTGTCTTTTTTTAATTCTTTAGAATAATGTTTATTCTAATATTCAAGAAAGTATTTTTTTAGACCGTAATGTAAGTACATAACAACTATGAAATGATAAAGCTGTCTTTAAATAATTTAGCGTGTATTTATACACATATTCTGCAAATTGCACTGAATTTAATTTTCAGTTTTAGGTAGTTGTATCGCAAACACATTACTTAAAAATGACTTTTCTTAAGATTTTTTTGAAACTTTTACTGTTTTAAGATAATGATATTCTCTATACATATGCGTAATTCTTAGGGGGGTGGAGGGGGTACCCAAGCAAATACTAATTATGAAGCTTTAGAAAGATTGCAATGTTAGCAATCTTTTCCTTACAAAAATTCACACCGAAATATTTATTTAAATTTTAAATCACTAAAAATCCACCTTAACCGTTCAAGGCTTTCGTCTCTTAATTGTAAAATGTATTTGTTTCAGCTTTCCGATGAACTGAACAATGTGACCTACATAAGTGAGAATCAACTTGCAAGTATTCGACAAAAGATACGAACACGTCAGTCTGAAATTAAAAGACATACAGAACATTTTGAGTTTGTAAATGTTCCTTAAGTTAATTTGAGTTTCTATACGTTTGTCTGTGATTCGAATCAGTTGAAAATAACGTAAAGTACTACTGTAATTAAATGTTTTAAGTTTAACCTTGAATATTTCATTACATAAATTTTGCTAGTTTTTACTTTTCATTCTGATGTTATACAGCGTTCATTACGTATTTACTTGCATCTACATTTTCTGTCTTTAATTTTTCTTCACACATTTAATTAAATATTATTAATCGTTCTATGCTATTAATATTATTAACGTTCTTGTATTATATTCACGTATTGTTAGTATTTCATATTATTAGCATTATTGTTTCATTATAGCTCAAAATAAATAAAAATGTGTCATTAGTTAATAGAAACATTACAAAAATAGAACCAAAAATATGCATGTGTATATGGGATGGTGTCGCGCCATTTTGCATAAAATGGAATTCCTTAATTAATTCTCTTTTCCTTGTATTGGGAAAGAATTTAATAATTCTTCATGAAGCGCTTCTTTATTTAATTTCATTTAGATTCCCCGATGGGCAACATTTTAAAGCATATACCATTATTTCATGCGCACAAGCATATTAATGCTTTTTTTATGTTTTAATTGTTAAATAATAACGTATATTTTTCGTAAATGTGGTAATAAAATTGGAAAGTTTTCTCTACAAAATGGCGTTTGATTAATTTCGTTCGTTCCACTTGTTGCAAAATAATAACCATTTAGTTTCAACTCATTCTCATTGATCACTCTAGAAAAATATAATATCCATTCATTTGAAACAGAGCATCAGGAACCTCTATAACTATATACAGATTAAAATAGAAATTAATTAATTTATAATATAGTTACTTCAATAAAATACTTTTTTTAATTGAATAAGATACTATCGCATCAAATACGATTCATTAACTTGGGGCACCATTGTAAAATACTTAAATGACACAGCTGGAGATTATAAGAGTATAAGTGTCATCAATCGTGCTAAAGTCATTGATGATGCGTTTTATTTTATGATGGAACGTCAGCTCAACGTATTTATATTTTGGAACTTCACGCAATTCTTATTGCGGGGCACAGATTATGTAGTGTGATATCCAATGATTAAAATATTTGAATATATATCCACTATATTTCCATTTTCAATGGATATAATTAAGTTCATCAATGATAAGGCAATGTACAATAGATGTTATATTAAACGAAGAAGTTATTAACAAGAACGTAAAAATATGTTATTTTTGTATTGACAACTGTTGAATAATTTCAAAATGCGATATACACAAATATATATATATATATATATATATATATATATAATCAAATGTGCAAATAAATATGCAGCAAACATTTGATTCAAAGGTAATCACAATTATACAATTGTAATCTTCTTAATTACTGTACAAAGATCTGCAGCGATATAAGAAATGGTTTTAAAAGTCTCTTGCTTGTTATGTAAGAAAAATAATAAACAAGATGAAAGAGCAACGGAATCAAATACATCAGCTCATTCCATTCATCCATTTCTGGTGCGGAAACAGTGATATTGTTATTACAATCTGAAAATAAGTTTGCTTTATTGGCAGCTGTACAGACTTTATCGAAATATGTTAGTAAATCGAAAGACAATGCAAAGATACTTTTTCACCTCGGCACTGTAAATAATGTTCTTCCTGTTATCGAGCACGAAGATATATTTGTTTGAAGGTTTGTGTAGAAATAAAACTTTATCTTTATAGTATAGTGCTCGATATACTATTATAATATTTGTAATACTATGATAAAAAAATTGTCATAAAATTAAGGATTTTTCTTATATTATTTTATATTGGGACCTTGAATAAATTCTCGCTGATTTTTCGTGAAAAGTAATGCTTTATTTTAAAAAAGTCATAAAAAACATGTCACTGAAAGTATTGTCCATCGCTAGCCACTACTTTTTCCCATCTTTCTGGCAGCATTTGAATTACACGTTGAAAAAACGACACGTCTTTTGAGGCTATCCAAGAGTCGACTCATTTTTTAGCATTATCATAAGAATGAAAGTGCTGCTCAGCCAGCCCATGTGCCATCGATCGGAACAGGTGATAATCGGAAGGGGCAATGTCTGGTGAATACGGCGGGTGGGGTAGGACTTAGCGTTTCCAAGTAGGTTTTCACCGGTTGTGCAACACGTGACCGTGCGTTGTGATGTTGCAAAATCACTTTATCGCGTCTCTGCTCGTATAGCGGCCGTTTTTCCTTCAATGCTCGGCTCAAACGCATCAATTGTAGTCGATAGCGAGCTCCCGTAATGGTTTCGTTCGGTTTAAGCAGCTCATAATAAACTACACCCAGCTGATCCCACCAAATGCAGAGAAGCTTCGAACCATGGATATTCGGCTTTGCCGATGATGTTGATGCATGGCCGGGCTTACCCCACGATCTTCTACGCTTAAGGTTATCGTAGTGTATCCACTTTTCATCGCCAGTCACGATACGATGCAAAAATCCTTTCCTTTCCTGCCGTTGAAGCAGCTGTTCACATAAGCACTCGCCTGCTCTGTCATTGTTCTCACAAAATAGAAAAGAACTGCAATAAATATAATACTGAAAAATGAAACTAGGTTAGATTAAGAATAAAAATGTTAAATTTTGTTTTCCATCTAGGCGTTCCACTTAACGCTTGCAACACATCATTTGACCTTGAGTGCATCCATTTTACGCATAATACGCTAGATGTAACACATGTATCCATTTTATCCTTGCTCATCAAATATTGAAAAAAGATAAAATGACAAATTATGTATATTATACGTGAAACGGATCACATTATTTAACATTTGATAACAACAAAGAAAATGATTCCAAGAACATTGCTAGCATTCAGTGGAATGCAAGTTAAGGATACAAGCAGTCAAAAATAGTCAACATAAATGTCGTTGTTTTTGACAGCATTCAGAGAAAATTTATAATACTTACATGTAAAATACAATGCTGCAGGTTCGCAAAATTTTGAACGTCGAAGTAGTACTTCGGTCGATTCGTCACACTTACAACTGAATCTTTTTACGAAACAGTTCAAACAAGGGAATCTTTTTACGAAACAGTTAAATCTCGATAAGAAAAAAGATACAATATATAACGTAAACACAACACTATACTGTAAAGCAGGAAAAGACAAATGGAATGAAATGAATGCCTTGTGGACAGTCGAGTAAAGACAGGAAGCTAAGTATCGTCGGACGGAAAAATGGCGAGAAGCATGGATAGGAAAACGCCATAAGACCACGAGAAGCACCTAGGAGAACTAGGGAGCAAAGGCACGAGCACAAGGTTGAGCAAAATAATAACGACACATCTAACTGGAACGATTTTACATCTTATTAGTACGCGAAATGCGATACACGTTAGTATGTTACACGTTCAGACAGGATCCGTATCAAAATATCCAATACGTTCTCTCACGTGCAAAGATGTATTCGTGGCGCGTCAAATGTCTGATGTCGATTCAGCGGGGAATTAGATGTATCGACTAGCAACTTGAAATTCATTTGAAGCAAATTAAAGAATGTTTA